CTCCTCCTCCTCCTCCTCCTCCTCAATATGAATACTACTCCCCCTCTTCCCCTGATGACGTCTTTTGCGTATTCGCCCCCCCCGCGTACTGTTTTTTTACACGCACGATTCCTTGGAGTTGGGTTTTCGCCTGCGCTTTTTTCAAAATGCTGCTCTCGCTGAGGCGCCGGCCTCTGTTCTGCTCCCGAACCGTTCCGAATCGTGCTCCCGCTGCAGCGTGGGCCTCATTTTCGGATCGGTGTTTTGCCTCCGTCGTTCAGGATGGCGTTCTCGCCCCAGCGCGGGCCTCTTTCTCGCGCGCCCATCCGCCCGCCACCACCGCGCCGCACCACGCCCCGCCCCGCCGCACGCACACCCACCGCCACTTCCACCCACCAACGCACGCACGCACGCACGCGCACCACCACCGCGCACCGCCACCACCACCGCACTACCCCACCCACCACCACCACGCTACACCGCGTCACACCACATCACACGCGCGCACACACAGACACACACGCACGCACGCACGCACGCACGCACGCACGCACGCACGCACGCACGCACGCACGCACGCACGCACGCACGCACGCACGCACGCACGCACGCACGCACGCACACACGCACGCACGCACGCACGCACACACACACACACACACACACACACACACACACACACGCACACACACACACACACACACACACACACACACACACACACACACACGCACACACACAGACACACACACACACCACCAACGCCACCACCACCACCGCCATCACGCACGTACGCACCTGGCCCACCACCAAACCACCAAGACGCCACACCACGTCACACCACAGCACACGCGCACACACGCACACACACACACACAACCACACATACACACCACCACCACAGCAACCACAACCACGCACACACGCACGCACGCACGCGCACCACCACCCACTACGCACACGCGCGCGGAGCCACAAGTCCGCTACGACACGCGTCCGCGGATAGAGAAAATCAGCGCCATGGTAAGGGATGAGAGGGAGGGGTAGGATGTCAGATGTTGACGCGAGCGCACCTAACTTGTCCTCCTCCTCCTCCTCCTCCTCCTCCTCCTCCTCCTCCTCCCCCTCCTCCTCGTCCTCCTCCTCCTCCCTCCTCCCCCTCCCTCCTCCTCCTCCTCCTCCTCCCTCCTCTCCTCCTCCTCCTCCTCCTCCTCCTCATCCTCCTCCTCCTCCCTCCTCATCCTCCTCCTCCTCCCTCCTCCCTCCCCTCCTCCTCCTCCTCCTCCTCCTCCTCCTCCTCCTCCTCTGAGGAAAAATCATGGCCCGCGCCATGAAATCCACCCCCCCTAGTCATCACCCCCCTCTTTGCCGCCCCCGACCACTGGGGACATTTCCTTGGGGCTTCGCGGGGCCTGTCCTATCCTCCCCTTAGGTGTGGGCCGGTGGGGCTGAGCTACCGTGGCCCAGTGGGGGTGGGAATCGGTCAGACGATTTCTCGCCGAGCTGCGCGCCTGCTGCTGCTGGCTGGCCTCATCTTCGCTTCGGCGCTGCATGGACTCGCCATCGCTCGGACGTCCTTTTCCTGTGTTTTTTTCGGTTTCGTGCGTGGCTTCTTCGCCAAATGATCAAGGATGCTCCTAGATGGTCCTCGCCGAGGGAAAAAATCACACGTCCGAGCGATGCCAAGTGGACAGCCTTGGCCCAGCTGAATGTCCAGGCCACCTGCCTTTGGCCAGGTCATCGAGACACGGCCTACGTGCCTTCAGCAGGACAAAAAGGAATCGGCTTCACGATCGGCACTCAAGCAGGCAAGCATGGGAGGTACAAAGACATACCAGTACTATATGTCCTCCTTGGAGGCGCGCGCCCGACCCACTCATGTAGTGTACCCCTATTGCAGCGTGTATATATATATACATATACATATACATATATATGTATATGTATATATATATACATCGTTTCCCGAGCGGTGTGGCCAGAAAACGACCGCCACGACGCATATACTATATAAAGATTCCTCGGTGCGCGCGTCGACCCCGGGGGGGCGACGAACACATGGTGTAAGTATGCTGGGGTGGCGCCGAAAGCAGGCGGGCGCGCGCAGCTGAAGGGGGCGGCGGCAGGAGCGCCTGCCGAGGGACTCGGCTCGTCGGAGGCCTCGGCCGCGCGCGGGCCGGGGAGTCGGGGCGCCCGCTCGGCGCTCCGCGCTGCCCGTCTTCTGCCTCGGCCTCTCTCTCTCGTCAGCCCAGCTAGGAATCCCTCGAAGCAGCGCACGTGGGAGGAGGGGGGGGGAAGAGGGCTACCCTCCACCGCCGCCGCCGCCGCCTGGCCCCCTCTCTCTCACTCTCTCTCTCGCGCGCTCGCTTTCGACATCCCTCATTCCTTCCCCCCCGTCCCTCACGCTCTCCCTCCTGAGCTGCCCCTCAGACCATGTGCTAAAGCATGTGTGATTACATGTGTGCCTGTCTCTCTGTTTCTCTCTCTCTCTCTCTTTTTCGCTTCCCTTTCCCTGCACATGCAAGAATCATCCGCCACGACATACATCAGGACGGGCCGAGCCCAAAACGACAACATCCGTTACTTTCGGTCGGTAGGTTGTTGCACGATGGGCCCCCAGAACGGCTCCAGGCAGCCCATAACCGCCCCAAAATGGCCCAACAGGGCGCCATGACTGCCAAAAAAAATCCCAAGAAGAATTCAATAAGGCCCAAAGAGACCGCACAAAACAGCCCACTCGCAGCCCTGGACCAGCACGGTGACGGTCGGATACTATCTATAATTTGTACATTCCCCGACTGCGCTTGCATTCTAAGGAACTGGGCCTGACAGCCCGTCTGGCGGTCATGTTGCCGCCGTCGCCGCCGCCCCGCAATGGGCTGCAACAAAAAATCCCATTTAGTGGAAAAAGGAAATCTACCATCGGGGATCTTCTGACCCGGATCAGTCCAGACCCGGGCCAGTCAGGCATCGCAGAATTCTGCAAAATCCTGCAAGTCTCTGCAACCAGACCAGGGTCAATGCAAAGGATCCTGCAACATCCCACAAGATCCTGCACCCAAACACGGGTCAATGCGACCCTGGCCCGCAGGATCCTGCAGGATCGGGCGCTCTGGCTGACGCCCATTTGCAGTGACCCTCGTCTTGTGAATCCTGATACCACACGCGCAAACCCGGATTTATCCAGCTGGCCTTACGTATTGCAATGGATACACGATTTTGGCCCATCGTTCATTGCCCATGTGAATTCATACCGTCATGGCCACACCGGGTTCCCACACCCCTACCATCCGCGACGCATAACCTTGTGCGCGCGCACTCGCTTTACCGAAGAATCCGCCAGTTGCCAAGAGCTCCTTTCGAAAAACGGGACAAAGTCCACACGCGCGCATCGTCGCGCGCGCAAGCCGAAATCCTTCAAGCATCGTCGGCTCCATGAGGGAATCAAAAAACCGAGGTTCCCGAAAATACACGAAAAGAATGAATTCGAAACATCGTGTTTCGAGTCGTACGAGAAGCCACAGCTACGTCAACCGTTTTCATCAAATGAAACCTCGCGGGCCTCTCGCACGCGCATGCCGACATCATTTGAACGCCTCTTTGCGCGCTTGTCGGGGGGGACATGGTCCATGTCGAAGAACACCACGCGGGCCACTCGCGCCCGTCGGCCGCGCGCGCATGTCGGAATCCGCTCGAAACCTTCATCGCCCACACGTGGGCACCATCATCGTCATCGGCGTGATCAGCATCGGCGCCGTCTTTGGCCTTGCCGTCGTCATCGTCATCGTCGCCACAAGCATCCTTACTATCATCACCGTGCTTGCCTCTGTCGGCGTCGTCATGATACCGCGCCCGCCCGACCCACCGACGCGCACTGAACTGCCCGCGAGTCAGTGCGGCCTGAGAAACGCGATGGGGAGTCCCCAACGGTCACCGCCACCGCGGCCGCGTCGGTCGCGCCAGACTAGCTGGCCGTTCTGCGCGCGAGCCTGCGCGCGCTAGCGCGGCCGCACCGATGCGCCAGCAAACGCCAAGCAGCCATTGCAATCGCCGCGGCAGGGGCTTTGCAAAACAACTGCGGGTGGGTGGGTGGGGTCATTGCGCTAGCTGTGAACTTGACAACTGCAAATTCGGTTGGGTGAACTGCACGGCATTGATTGCACCATCTGGATGGCAACCGTATAGATTGAGCCCCCGAGAATGCAACACATATATTGCACCGCATAGAATGCACCATATGGGTTGCACCGAATGAATTGCACAACGTATAATCCACAGTATAGAGTGCAATACATAATGTGCACCACATAGATTGCACAATATACATTGCACCACATGCGTGACAACAAATCTACTGTACCAAATAGACTGCATTGCACCAGATGTACTGCACCATATGGACAGTAACCATATGTGCACGACACTGATTGCACAACACGTATAGCACAACATAGAGCGCACAACCTATATTGAACCACATACCTTCTCCTTTCTAAAGTTCTGCCACCCTCTCCCCTGGAATTAAGGACCCCCCCCTTTTCGTATTGCAAATTACACTTGGTTCTGCCCCATCGTCCATCCTAACTGTGCAATCGTAGCATCCCAGCCAAACCGGTATCGACCCCCCCTCGGTTCCCTTGCAAAAAACTATGCGCGCACACTCGTTTATCAGAAATCATAAGTGTTCAAGGATCCCTCGAAAAAAAGGGGACGAAGTGCGCACGCGCGCGTCGTCGCGCGCGCATGCCGAAATCCTTCAAACCCTTCGGTTTCGGAAAGATTTCAAAATCGAGTTTCCCCCCAAGAAAAAAACCAAGGTTTCGCAACACTGATGTTCTAAAGAAGCTTACGCGCGCTCTTGCGAAATCTTAAGAAAACCACAAACTGTTCCAAGAATTTCATAAACTACTACCAAGCGGGCTTCGCGCGCGCATGTCGAAATCGTTCGAACGCCCTTGCGCGCGTTTTGTCGCGACTAGCCCCTGCAAAACACGGGACGAAGTGCACGCGCTCTTGCGTCGTCGTCGTCGTCGTCGCCGTCCTCCCTCCTCCCTCGTCGTCGTCGTCGCCGTCGTCGTCCTCTGTCTTTCCTTTGTCGTCGTCGTCCTCTTTAGCGTCGTCGTCGTTTCCGTCGTCGTTGTCGCCATGATCGTCCTTCCTCCTCCCTCGTCGTCGTCGTCGTCCGTCGTTGGCGTCTCGTCGTCGTCCCTCCTATTTCGTCGCCGTCGTCGTCGTCGTCGTCTTCCGTCCTCCCTCGTCGTTGTCGTCGTCGGCGTCGCCGTCCTCGCTCCTTCTTCGTCGTTCGCGTCGTCGCCATCCTCCCTCCTTCCTCGTCGTTGTCGTCGTTGCCGCCGTCGTCGTCCTCCCTCCTCCCACGTCGTCGTCGTCGTCTTCGTTGGCGACGTCGTCGTCGTCGTCTTCGTCGTCGTCAGCGGCGTCGTCGTCGGCGTCGTCGGCGTCGCCGTCGTCGTCGTCGGCGTCGTCGGCGTCGGCGTTGTCGTCGTCGTCGTCGGTGTCGTCGTCGTCGAAGTCGTCGGAGTCGCCGTCGGTGTCGTCGTCGTAGTCGTCGGCCTCGTCGTCGTTGTCGCTGTTGTCGTCGGCGTCGGTATAATCGTTGCCAAGTGCACTTTGGTACCTACCGTCACGGTCTCAAGAGGTCTTGCGACCAAGTTGCGGGTGTAAGGGTGGGATGTTCGCACGAGCAGTGGAGAGGATAGCTTCAAGACAGTCAAAGTGACTTGCACCAAATAGACTGCACCATATAGGTTGCGCAACAAAGATTGCACCACATAACTTGCCCGAGATATAAATTTGTTAGTGTATCTAGAAACACCCTGCTTAGGGGCCAACGCTAGCTAACATGTGTATATGTGTACTAGAACCTCGCGCGCTTCGCGCGCGCTGAGATTCTGGCGAAATCCATGCGACGCAACGCAGGTGAAACAGTCCTGGGCCTCCCACGCACCCTCCCGGTCCGAACC